TAGGTCCTTCCTTTTTCTGGCACAGAGCTTCTTTAGCCTTAAACCAGGCATCTATTGTGTATTTTAATGCTTAGGAAAATCTATTATCATATCAATGAAGGGACAGTGGAAAGGGTCCTGGCCAGCACCTTCATTGGCATGGATTAGACCCCTACGTGGGGATTACCCAATGGGTTTAGGATTCAATCAGTCAAGAGCTAAAATCAAAAAACACCCATCTCCCTGGAGAACTTCTACTCTCTTGGCCCATTCTCATCAGAGGCTACACGTGCTGAGGAAAGACATTCTCCGAGAAGGATCAACTTTTTACAGGCTAGAGGATAGATTTCCAAAAGGTATAATGTAGAGACCAGACCTCATGCTAAATAGGCCACCTTGTCCTTTCTTGTATAATGACTCAAATTATGGTTTTTTTGTTTTTGTTTTTGTTTTTTTTACAATTCCAGCATCATAATTTTGCCTGGACAGTACATCTGTAACTGCTACTCGTGCTCTTTTGGGCTGACCCAGTTGCTTCGACATTGCATGGCTGTGTTACAAGTACGTTAGCAGAAACCAGGTATCTATAAAATACCAACATGCACAGAGAGCATTTGATGAATAACAGACAAACTGTGCTAACACAACAGGGTGTGGAAACCTACCCTGTTATGCCTCTTCCATCAGACTTAGGGGAGATGCTTGCATATTTCACACACCACACACCCCACGTCCTTCTAGCAAGTGGTAGGGTCAGGGAGATGACAAATCTTCCCCCTCTTGTACATACTTGTTGCTTTACAATTTAGTAGGAAACCTAACACTAATGTGTAGAGGCATTAAACCCACATAGTGAATATCTGCATAAAGAAATACTATACTCCAAGGAGGAGGAGGCAAGGTTAGATAAGAAATGCAGATGCAATGTCATCTAATATGATTTATATCACAGTCTAAAAGAGCCATCACAGATCCCCTATCCCGGAATTCAGCCTGGTGTGCAGGAAGCCAATGCATAAATTCACCTGTGTAGAGAATGCCTGCTGAATTCCTGGAACCAGAGGATGCCAGCCTCATCAGGGATCTGTCAGGTGCAGAGTGAGACAACTGCTGTTTCATTCGGAAACCCTTGCACTGTTGACCTCCCTGTGCATGGTGAAGGCAAGCTCTGCTTTTCATGGTGGCTCAAGAAACTGTGATTGAAAGGCATTTCCTTCCAGAAAAAGGATACGCAGAGTAACCAATAAAATACCAAACGATGAAAAAAATTCTTCACATACGATGGCATCATGAGACAGCTTAAAGCTTTGGATAGTTACTTTTGGAGGCCTGATGGTACTCTTGTCATGCTGAGGATTAGCCTGGGGTTTGACATAAAGAAGAAAGGGAACAGGGGTATCTGCCCTATCGAGGAGTTACCAGGTATGCTACAGTACGCCTTCATCAGAGAGCTGCTTTTGCCTATTACAGTCCCTTTTCCTTTATAGGCTGTTAAGGGCAAGGATTCCTGCCTAGTGTCCTCCACCCTGATGAAAAAATGGAGAATGGGTTCAGTGACTGGATCAGGTCTGGAGTGAGCTTGCTCTGAGTTTGAATTCTGAGTTCCACTGCTATTTCTCCAAAGGTCAGGCTCATCAATGGCAAACACTGAAAATAGAAACGTGGATTACAGTGTAACTGCTCAGAGCCATTACTAGGACACAGGGTCAGGTGGTAGAGAAGAGAGAAGGAAGCCTAGGCAGGAATCAGCAGGGACTGAAAAATCTTCGAAGCAGAGAAAAGTCAGGGGCCATGTTGGCTGCTGCTACCTGGCCACAATGTGCGGAACAGCGTGGGAATACGGAGGTGTGTATTAAAACCTAGCAGGGGATGAGAAGGGAGGTTCTCACAGCAAGGAAGGTAAAAAGGTTCAAAGGGATATTTTACGGTACCAAGGGGGCTGGGACAGGCAGAGGGAACTGGTTGGAGGAGTATGCTCCATTCCAAGCCATGCAGCAAAGACAAGGAGAGTGACCCTGGGGTTGGACTGTGCGGGTTCAATCTGGGCCTCATCACTTACTAACCGTTTACCTTGGAATCACAGTTACCATCACAGAACCTCTATTTCCTCATCAGCCCCAAGACCTGATAATAAATAGAACGGACAGTCTCGTAAATTCTCCGTGAGCGCTGGCGATTGTTAGCAATTCCCAGGCTGAGCCCAGTCTGCCTCCGTGCTTGTTGGCATTGTGCAGGCTTGCAGAGGGCACGCTGTCCAAGTCTTTAAGCTGGATCGGCCTAAGCCTTACATCCTGCTGAGGGGCTAATCAGGAAAGCTGGAGAGGCCAAGGTGATCTCAGTCTCTGCTAAACAGCGGGGCATTTCTAAAGTCTTAGTTTGTACAAATATTGCATGACCCCCTATTTATTAACACATTCCAGAGGTACTGTGAACCACTTCACATTGTATAAAAATTTAGTGTTGGCAAGTACATTTTGAAAAGGGAAAAAGTGGGTGTCAAACTAGCAGGACAAGAATCCTAATAATAATAATAATAAGTTTGTTTCCTTTCCTTTATGTCTCGAAAGGGAAGTATATTTAGTTCCATTATACTTCAGATAACGGGACAGGTCTTGGCAAAATCTTGGGATCCTGAATTGAAGTCCCTCTTGCCTCAAATCCTAGTAGCGTGCTACGGTGTTAGCCCTCCTCGTGTCACTGCCTACATCTGCCTGCTCAGAAAACTGATGCTCATTTGTAAGTAAAGCCCTTAAAGGAAGATACAAATGCCAGTTCATTTTAAAAACTACAGGCAGTGTGGCAATAGTTTCTATTACAAGTCGGGGTAAATATCTTTCTGGCAAGACTAACAAGAGAGGCAGATTTACCTGGGAGACAGGAGATGTCAGGCCTCAAGGCAAGAAAAAAGCCCCAACTGCAAATGCACAACATGCAGGAATCTCGAGTTGTAAGTTTAGATCTTCTTCAAGAAGATTTCTTAGAAAATATAGTTCTAAGATAGATTCTTACAGCACAGGAAGCCTCGGGAAAAGCCTAGAGCTTTTTCACCTCTGCCACAAAGTACCCATTGCATAGGAAACCCAGAAAAAAAATAATTTAGTCTGCGAAGTCAAGTCTGAAGAATTGTGACCCTATTTGAATAGGCCACTCCAAAATGACACACCGGTGTTCAGAAGAGGAAGGCAAAGAGGTTTGCAGTCATGCCCATAGGCGTATGTTCTTAGGTAAAATAGCTTTACTCTTAAAAAAATACAGAGAGAAAGCGAACAGTGGCAAAGATTAAAAATAAAATATGAAAGAGAACTTCTGCTGCACCACGCTAGATCCCTTCAGGCAACCGAGTGCAGAGCTGACACACATTTGATATGGGAGAATGGAAACAGCCTTCCAGAGGGCAAGGGCCCGAGACAACAGGAATGCCGCAGCTATAAATATAATACTTTAAAACGGGGGTTGCTGAGAGAAAGAAGAAACTTACACAGAATCTGAACTAATAAAGGTTTACCTTTGCAAGTGGCAACAGAGTAGAAGGAATGTGTCCTACAGCTAAAAATCATGACTCAGTGGTTGATGAAATTTTGTTACTAATTTTGCTTGAAATTTACATTGGATCTATATCAGCAACCTAATATGTAAACACATTTATACACAGGCCAGATGAAGAACCATGGAATTCTAATGTTGGATTATCTCATTCTATAGAGGAAAAACGAATCTATTTACAGGAGAGGATCTTTATCTGGGGTCAATATTCCCTAAGGAAGCTTATTCACAGAGTTGTCATATAAAATACAGGGTGCCAGTTAAATGTGCATTTAGAATAGGCAGTAACTGTCTTCAGTCTGGTTGTGTCCCAGTATTGTATAGCAACTCCATGAGACCCTTGGCAGTATACAAACATTTTGTAGGTAGATGCATTTTTTAGACGGGGATTGGCAGTATGAGGGGACTTCTCAACGATCATAGAAAACATGGAATAATTATGAGGGTAAGTTTATTATGATGCAAAAAAATGCTGAAATCCACATAAAGATTTTTCCTAAAAGCGCATCTTCCACAAACTGTCTTTGAAGACCCTTCACAGCTATCTGTCTACCAGAGTGTTAAACCCACAGTCTCCAACAGTGCAGCAGTATTAATGCACAGAGATAACGCTGGCACATCCTGGCCTCTCCCTGTGGCCTGAGCTTCCCAGCAGGCAACACTCAAGGGAAACCCAGAAGGTCATTTACCAGCTAGCAGCTCTGCAGAAGAGTCCCAGGCTGCACAAAGAGAAACAGGCCTGGGGGCTACTGAAACAGTAGGGAAGCAGAGGAAGCTGCTTCACACACCTTGCAGATGAACAACCATCTGAGACCTGAGCCTGAGAGCAGTGTCTCACCTGCAGATTTTGGGTTGGTTGCTTGGATGGTTGCTTGGTTTTTCAGAGGAGAGATCGATCCATCCATCCATCGATCCTACCCACTGGTTTACTCCTTTACATGCCCACCATGGCCTGGTCAGAGTCAGCTCAAGCTGGGAGCTAGGAATTCAATATTGGTTGCCCACATGGGTGTCAAGAACCCAACTGCCCAAGTCATAACCACTGCTTCCCAGGGCCCACAGTAGTAAGCTTGAGTCATGAATTAGGAGCTAAAAAGACAGACATCCAAACCAGGCACCCCAATACGAGACATGGGCATCCCAAATGCCTGCTCAATCCCTGCTCCAAAAGGATGTTGACCTTTCAACCATCAGGTTTGCATTATCCTCTTGATAGAGACAGAAGAGCAGTGAAGGAAGCCTGGGTATGTAGGGTGAGCTGGCCTGGAAGCAAGTTCAGAAACAGAGAGAGTCTGTGGAGACAGACAGACACGGGGTTGGGAGTTAAGAACTCTTTAAGAGCCAGGACTTTCTCCACTCTAGTTTTTATGTCTTTCATAGCCACTGCCCAGGGATGTGGGTGAAGCTGCTTTTCGGCACCCCATTCCTGAGCCCACAGGAAGGTCTTGGTGAGGATGAAGGAAGGGCACGGTCTGTACCTGTGTCACTGAAAGTAGGCACGCAGCGCCGCTGCTTCGGCTGCCATTTCTTCCTCTGATCTCCAAGAGGCCTGAGAGTCCTCCTCTTCTTTGTCATGTTTCTGGAGCTTTGGAAGAAAAAATAAATGGAAAAAGCTCATTAATGGGCCCTTAGGAATCTCCTTGAACAAATGTTAGGAGTGGAGGACTGGACAGAGAGAATCTGCAAATTAGAGGCTGATAGGGGTAGATCCATCTCTTAACTGTATCCATTGCCAAAATTTGAAAACGAGGAGAGTTTTACATAAGAACCCACATTTCCAGCTTCTTCAATAAGGCAGCTAGGTTAGGTCACTGTCACCTTCTATTGCCTTGTCATTGGCTGCTGACAGTAGGAGAATGGGAGGGGAGAACATTCTTCCATTCACCAGAATTTCTACCACTCTCTAATCTTATGTGTGGCAGACACCATTCACTTATTTCGCTTCCCAGACTCTGATGGCCCCGAGTGTGCCACAAATCCATAAACAGCCCCTCTAAGATTGTCTGTGGTTTACCTACCATGGCTTGACTACTCCCTATCAACAATTCTCCAGACCACAAGTGTTTATATTTTGGAATACTTGCAAGTACATAGTGAGGTAACTTGGAAAGAGGACACAAGTCCAGTCATAAATCTGTTTCATATGCACCTTATATTCTTAGCCTCAGGGAATGTTGTGTAATACTTTCTGTGCACCTGAGTTTTGGCTGTGACCTATCATGTGCGGTCAGGTGTGGAGTTTTCCACCTGTGATGTCAGCTTGCAGCTCCAAGTTTCACATTTCAGAGCATTCCAGATTTGTAGCTTAAGGATGCTCCACCTCTAATCTCTTTGACTTAGCTTCTCTTATTTATTTATTTATTTATTTGACAGGCGGAGTGGACAGTGAGAGAGAGAGAGACAGAGAGAAAGGTCTTCCTTTGCTGTTGGTTCACCCCCCAGTGGCCGCCGCGCCGTGCTGATCTGAAGGCAGGAGCCAGGTGCTTCTCCTGGTCTCCCATGGGGTGCAGGGCTCAAGCACTTGGGCCATCCTCCACTGCACTCCCTGGCCATAGCAGAGAGCTGGCCTGGAAGAGGAGCAACCAGGACAGAATCCGGCGCCCCAACCGGGACTAGAACCCGGTGTGCTGGCGCTACAAGGCGGAAGATTAGCCTAGTGAGCTGCGGCGCCGGCCTAACTTAGCTTCTCTTATACCACCTCTGAGCCATTTCGTCCAGTGAACCTAGCCCAAGAAAATTTATGATAATGCAAGCACCATGAGTTGAGGAAGAAATTAGTATCTCCATCAAAAGAGGCTCCAGGCAGCCAAAATCAAATAATAAAATCAAACAAAAACAACTTATCAAAAATTAACAATGCAAGCCAGCTTTGTGGTGTAGTAGGTGAAGCTGTCACCTATGACCCCGACATCCCATAATGGCATCAGTTCTTATCCCGGCTATTCCACTTCTAATCCACCTCCCTGCTAATGGCCTAGGTAAAAGCAGTGGAAGATGGCCCACGTGTTTGGGCCTCTGAAGCCAAGTGGGAGACCCAAGTGAAACTCCTGGCTCAGCACTGGCTGTTGTGGCCATCTAGGGAGTGAAGCAGCAGACAGAATATCTATCTCTCCCCCACCTCTCTCTAACTCTGATTTCCAAAATAAATAGATCTTTAAACAAAATTGAAATTAACAATGGGTCCCAGTCAAGGGAAACATTTTAAAATCCTCCTTAGATACCAATATTTTTTTTAAATATTGTATATGTCTGAGTTACATAAGGAGTGAATACAGTTTCAGTTGTATCAAAAAGAGAAGGTTCTCACAACTTTTTTTTTTTTTTTGGAAAAGCTTAATGTTGTCCCTTTAATCTCCTATCAAAATTTAGTTTCATTAACTACCTTTGTTGTTTTCCTGTGTGGCTCTAAACCTAGAAAAATGCTTCAAGTATAAATTGTTCAATGAAGGCAATGTGTAGGATTTTCTGTGAAGTTATTTCAGACAGAGACAAATGATTTAATGGCAATGATGGCTAGCACTGATGATGTGAAAGGCAGTTTGTTGGACATGCATTATTTCATTTAATCCTTACAATGACCCACCAAGCAGATATTACTTAACCCCATTTACTAAGGAGGAAATTGAGTGTAGCTAGATAGTGACAGGTGCCAGGCTTGTTACCGGCATCATTTGCCTTATCTGTCCTGGAGGGTATTTGCCACCGAAAAGTAGATACTTCCTGATTCTGTTCCACTCCATCAGACATATTCACCTAAAAGTTGGAGCCTCTGAAATTAATCTCAGCTCAGCAAAAAATCTATCCAACTAAAATAGTAGGGTTTTCTATCTCAGAACACTCTAAAGAAAACCCTGAGACCCCAACCCTGGCAGCTTGCAGCAGATGGGGAAGTTTCTCCATTTATTTAGAGCAAACTTTGATACAGAAGGCAAAACAGCGAGGGAACGACAGCTTCGCTCTCCAGCTGAGCTGCATTTCCACGCGGGGTAAGTAGGAGCCTAAATGAGGGTTATTAGCATAGAACCAGGCCACAAATATGCTTATGAGGGTCATGGATCTTCTGTTCGGAAGTTGGCTGCCAGCACGCTGGTTTTACATTTTGCCACATAGATATAATTCTCCTTAGTGGAAGAAAACCACATTAAGAAGTCATTTCCTTCCTCGCATAGAAAGACATGATGCACTTGCTACAGGCAAGTCAAACACAATTGCTATTCCACCCAAGAACTAATTTTCATTTTGATACTACCTTTAGGTCTGTTATAAATCCATCTTGTAACAACTCAATAGGATGACAACGAACAATGCAATACCCAGGAAATACGGCCTTCCCACTTGTGGGGCTGCCAGTGGAAGACACAGAAATCAAGCATTAAGTGTCCTCATCAACACAGATCATTCCAGATGAATCCAAACAATTGCGAGCCCGTGAACATTAATGCCTTCCTGGTGATTAGGCAGCCGTCTGTTATTGTCATATGCCTTACAGATGGCAACACTGTGCCAATGCTTCGAAGTTGTTTATGAGGAGATATGAAATAAATAAAATGACACTACTCATATTTGCAAAACTCTGTTGCACATGCTTTTCAAAACTTAAGAGATATTCCTACTAAAAGCCACAGATAGAAACCTGTGGCCAACAGTGACTGGCTGCTTGAATGATAAAGAATGTTTTGAAAAATAAAATTTCCCTCAGCGATTTTGTTTTAATTGGCTTCAGATAGCCTGGGTTTAGGGATTTTAAATATATATATATATATACTTGTCAAACAACTGTACGGCACACTCATCGTTCAGCAGCACTGCATTCAAAAGTTTGTGTGTAAATAGAGCCCATACACATACGAGGGACCATCAGAAAATTCAGAGACTAACAGAATGAAAAGATAAGTTCACTTTGAGTGAAACTTCCCTATTATTTTAAGCTATCCCAGGGAAAGGTGGTAACTACTTAATAACACAGCAGATATTCCACCTGGTATTAGATCACTGAATCAGACAATCCCATTTTACTGTCATCAGGAGGCAATCCCATAGGGAAGGTGGTCACCTAATGGTTGACTCTTAGTGAGATGGGATCTGCCAAGTGCTAGCTGCAGCTAACCCAGCTGAAAGGTTTTTGAGAGTTACCTTGGGTTCACAAAGAAACAGCATTGTAATTGGGAGTGACAAAGGACACAGAGTTACCTAGCAAGTGCCTAATAAGAAAGTGAGGTTTGCTCCATACTTTACCAAGAACTAGGAGAGCAAGCGCCTTAACCATTTTCTGCCTCAGTTTCCCCCTCAGATCCTTAGATCTGATTCTCATATTACATTCAATTCAACCAGCAAGAAATTGTTGAGCACATGACGTATTCCAGACTCTGTTCTAGGGTGTTTTTTTTTTTTTTTTTTTTTTTTTTGACAGGCAGAGTGGACAGTGACAGAGAGAGAGAGAGACAGAGAGAAAGGTCTTCCTTTGCCGTTGGCTCACCCTCCAATGGCCGCTGCGGCCGGCACGCTGCGCCAATCCGAAGGCAGGAGCCAGGTGCTTATCCTGGTCTCCCATGGGGTGCAGGGCCCAAGCACTTGGGCCATCCTCCACTGCACTCCCTGGCCACAGCAGAGAGCTGGACTGGAAGAGGAGCAACCGGGAACAGAATCTGGTGCCCCGACCAGGACTAGAACCCGGTGTGCCGGCGCCGCAAGGTGGAGGATTAGCCTAGTGAGCTGCGGCGCCGGCCTGTTCTAGATTTTATGAAGGCTATAAAGATGAGTAAGCCAAAAATCTCTGCTTTCTGGGGTTTCACTGCTCAATAGGGCAGTGAAATAGGCTTGCCTTTGGTAAGTGAGTTGTTCTCAAACCTGCCTCACTATGTATCCTGGGAAAAAAATTTAAAAAAGGCCCGAAGAAACCAGCCAAGAGAAGATCAAGCATTTTGTGCACTCTAGAGTTTACTATGATTATTATATGGAATGTAGCACAAAGCACCAGCACTATTTTAATTCCACAGTTCATAAGTTCTAAGATGCACACTTCTCCATACTCGCACATCCTGAAATCAAAAATGTGTCCTATAATGAATAGTGTGTCATAATTTAATTGGCAGTGTTTCTCTTCTTAGTAGTACATAAAATGACAGTACTGCTGCCACCTCGCTCTGTCTGGGATTCAATGCACTGCAGCTGTCTTTCTCTCCACCCTGCAGTGAAGACCCTGAGTTAAATGTGACTGAGCTCACGGTGAAAATGCTCAGCTCAGGGCTGAATGCACATCCGTGTCCTCATGATGCAGCAACCATAATTGGAACTTCTCACCTATTCTTTATCTTTTGGCGGCAAGGACACACCACAGTGACAAAGTGTGCAAAAACTTGAACCAAAGTCTTTAGTCACATTCAAAATATTGTAGCCTATGAGAGCGCCTCGAAGCAAACTCTATTTCTATCCAGCTTTGAAAACCGATTAACAAGTAAAACACACGTGTATCTGTAGCCATCTCATTTTATCTGCTCGAGATGAGTTTCAAGGAAAGCAGTGTTAACAGGATTTCTGATTGAAGTACTGATATGTGTTGATTTTGACACTGTGCTCCCTCCTGTG